GTTGGAGTTTTAGAATATCTCTTTATTGTGTTCTTGACGCTTTTCCTCATCGCTGAGAACTGGTATTATACGGAAATGTATTAAATGCATATCGATGTTGTATCAAGAATCTTCTGTCCTTCGGGTTAAACTTTTTTCTACCTGGGAATGTACAGTGAATTGATATCGTAAAGGGCACCATTTGGCACTCGCATGTTTTAATGTTACCATATTCCTGTCATAACAATGTTGAAATATTTATTGGAAATAAAATTGCACAATGAAATATTGCAACATTGTCAAATACAATAGCTTAATTAATGTATAAATGTGCAACAACTGATTTATTTTAACATATTTCATTGTCATATTAGAACGTTGCCAACTTAAAAGTGACCCCTTCCTACATACAGATAAACAGCTATAAAATAAAATAACAGTAGTTACATTATTAAACATTAGAAAGTGAAATATGTTGAGATTAGACAATCAATGTATCATGTTTAGTTCTACACAAAGCTTGACTAACTATAGATTATGAATTTGAGAGAGAGAGAGAGAGAGAGAGAGAGAGAGTCTATCCGACCTTCCTAGGGAAGAATTTTCACAAGAATGTCCACGTCGACATTCAGCAAGCTCTATAAGTGTAGTGAAATGGGTATTGTTATTTAGGCAGGCATCCTAACCTATATATAGTTAGGCAGCTCGTTTTCAACCGCTATACTTATACATAGGGATTTATATCTGGGTTGTCAATGTAGATTTTGAGCTTCAATGAAATCGTCTATGCTACGCTACTGTGCCTCATTTACAGTGCTATTTACTGGATATCTTCTTTGATATTCACAAAGATCAAAGCCCGTTGATTTCAGTAGTAAAATCCGAAAGACAATTTCTAAAAGAGAACTGGTGAACCCTGGTTCATTTTTAATTGATGCTGTTGCCAGCAATATTTGTACTCAATTCATAGTATTTCAAATTCTACATTCTACACATCATTAAACAGCCAGGACAGAATCTTACAAATATTACTGAACAATCACATACTATTTACAGGAGTTTTCAAACATTAAAAACTTTTGTTTATTTTCCTTTAATTCAAAGTGGAAACATACGTCCAGTAGCTGTATTGGATAATCGCTTTCAAATGAAAATTATCTTGTGCTTCTTGCATAGAACTTCTTTCGTTAGATGCTTCACGCAAGAGTTGTGACTGTAGTTTAATATTCAATATGATAACAAGCCAATACATTTCCTTTTTCAGTTAATTCGAATTGGCAGCATATGCTGTATTGGAAATTTGTTTTCACATGAAAATGATCTTTTGCTTTTTGCATTTCTTAATGAAAGGGAATGTATGTTTAAGTACAATTACACGGTACATAATAATGGTTATGATCATATGCACATCTCGGTGAATATAAGTGTTATACTTTATACATACAGTAAGTATTGTTCCACTAAAACAGTGGTGTCTCTATCTTGTCAGTCTATGATAATATACATGACATATGACACCATCGTATACTGGGAGGGAGGTAAGACCGGGAAAGTGATATTAATTAATCGAGTAGATGAACCATTTAGGATTTTTTACTATAGAAAATTAGATAAGTTAATATAAGAAATGAACACTAACATTAGATAATCATAATCTATTCGTGGCTCTGATATATTCAATAGTTGCTTTAAAATAAATAGATTTGTTTTGTCAATACAATCAGTAATTGTAAGAGTCTGTTTAGGATGTGACGGGGTACTGATGTTTTGAAATTTCTATAACAACATAGTGGTGAATCTTTAAGATGATATCTAAATAAATCACAAGTTGGGTTTCTGACCGAGTACGATGTTATTTATCTGTTACCAACATTCATATCTGTTAAATTTCTGTTATTGCCTAGTGCTATATCACGAGAGGTTTGCAATAAAACGTTCTGCAGATTGATGAAGCAAAGTGATATTGGTCAGGTCAACCCTTGACGTCGGTTTGTTAAAGTCATTTATTGCTGGTGAAACAAAGCTTGTAGATGATATTTTGATCTCGGGGTAATTATCATTCTTTCATTACATAGTAAGTTCATTTGGTAAGATTTGTTTTATAGAGCAGTGTAACAAATCTGTGACATAACCTACTTCCCGAGGATGCCATATTCACAGCTGATATTGTTAGATCGTATCTCCAAGATCATGTTCTATTGTTATATATACATCTCTCTTGCAATCTTTGTTGAGCAATATCCATGAGAATTGTCACGGTGTCAGGAAAACAGATAAAAGAGGTTATCTGATCTTGGCGGAGAAGGAATTTGATTCCTGGTTAAGTATGTAATACGGCTTTTCCACGAACACTAAAGTTTTAGCCTTGCTACAAGGTTAAGGCATTGCGTTCACGCTTCATTAAGTCAACATTAAGCAGCATATAGACTTTGTTTACGGTACATTTTACAATCGGGTAGTGTCATTGTTGCTGAAAACCATAGTGGAAGGATAGGCAATCCGCTCGACTGCATTGAGTTATTTTCATTACATTTACTCGGCCTACGCATTCATCTCCAATTCAGAAATTTTGCAATATAGACAGATTTTTTTGGGGGGTTTTCTTTTACAAGCAGATTTTAAACAATGATAACAATTTCAAAACCTGTCCTTTTCAATCCTGCGTTCATTTTCCATACCCATCAATTTTTGCTATATTTCGAAACGCCAGCATTCAATGTCAATGCGCGCTTACATCCGGGCCAACAAGAGTGATCAGTATAAGTTGAAATAACTTGTTTCGCAATTGATGTTAAATAAATAAAGTTTATAGTTTTTTCAATGTCCTTATAAAGTCTTAAAAGTATTTACTACATGTGTTCTCCCTATTAGTCTTTATTTCATATTCGACAAAATGTAATATTGCTTTGTTGTAGTTAATAGTCATTAATTCTTTTAATTTCACAGAAACATGCCTCTCTCAATTGTACAGTATAAACCATGGAGTATAAGATAGATAAACCAGGCTGAGTTAATGTCAGGACGCTCTTCAGGGATGTATTTTCCCTTTATCTTTCATAGCAAAATAACTTTTTTGTTTTCACAAAAAACTTTAACAAATATTAATAACGAAATGTAAACAACTACATACAACGTAAAACATAATTAATAACAATACTTACCGAGTTCAGTTTGACAGTGAATACCTTAAAACTTTCTTCACGTTGGAAGTTTGAACTAAAGTCACGACGGATATGTTATACAGGCCATGTGCAGCAGAGCCTGTCTTAGAGCATAAACAAAATGTTCTTTCTTTTGTCATCATGTGAATAAAAGATATCTACAGTGGCGCCGGACTGCTATAATTGACAGCATCGCAGTCCTGTGGCATATTTTCTGCTCCATCTTTTTGGCTATATTAAAACTGTGATATTGTTAATGTTGTAAATATGTTTGTACAACATGATTGACCTTGTTGTTACCATGTCTGCCATGTTATTCGTCATTTGATATTACGGGATATATTTCTTTCTTGGTAGTTATTGACATGTAGTATACCCAAGTCATGATCCAATTATCGAGGTAGAAAATACAATACAAACAAAATGTGCTTTCTATTATCAACGATAAAGGATATCTACAGATTAAGTATTTTTTGTCAAACTTTTCTGAGCAACGGCTGTTCATTGTATAGCTGTAAACTTTATCGGAGGCTATTTCGGGGAAAGTAGCATAAAGCCAAAAAATATACTGAGGATGAAATCGGGGTATTACCAAACCACATGCAGACGCTTAACACTTCAGAATGTATGATTATATGACCCCTTTTTTGCAAGGTATTCGTGTTATGATTTAATTTTTCGCAATGTAAATTTTCTTGATAGCAACATTTTTGAATCGCCAACCTTTGGTGTTTACATGTCACAGTTAATTCGATGGTTAAAGTTTTTTCTCAATATCACGATTTTCGTGCAAGATATCTCAATATCTATCAACTCGAAATCTCGTGTTTTGCATGTTGATCGAAAGGGCGTAGACGTTTTGCTGTCGTCATAATGAAATATTCAATTTCTGATGCGATATGAGGGTTTATACGGCGGGTATTTTCAGTGAAGCAAAAGACGCTTACTTATTTTATTGTTCTTGTACTTTTTTCAGGAGTCACCGTGTATTTTTTTTCTTTTGTTCATATTTTGCCCTGTATATGGAATTTGGGTTTTAAATCATGATTATCTTGTCATATTGATATTTTCTTGATATTATTTATACAAGTTTTGCCGGCGAAGTCGCGATAGGATTCACTGCCTGAATCACCATTACTGGACATCGTTAAGTTTCTTTGAAGATTTAACTTTTATAAAAAACAAACTGTACCTCTTGGTCATTTTACGGTGCTGGACATGCTGATTAGATAGAGCCAATTAAATGTACACAACCTTCATCAAATCGGAATTGACGTTACACATGATCGACCAATTAGAATCGTTGGTTTTCAGAAAAATAATTTTTTTAAGCTTCCTCGGGTGTTTACATGTAGAAATAGTGCTGAAATTTCGTTAAAATTTATTCTACTTATTTAAATGATATGTCCATATATTCGTTGTGCTACACACCCGTAAGAGTAGGATAATTCTATCACATTGTAAACAAGAAAAATGATATTCAATGTCTTTACACGTAATGACAGAATGTCAACATTATATTTCATTGATATTATATTCATATCACTCATGATATTGCTGATAAATGATAACGGTACAGATATATCTAATATATATTCCTATATTCATAATACAAAAACTCTCATAGCTAGTTGTAGTGTTAAGAAAACATAGATATAAACATATGATTAGTTCACATAAACATGAAGTAACGGTAGGTAGCTAGGGTTCCAGGATAAAGAATATGGCATGTTAACGTCTGAATATCTCATACGTAACTATGCCATTGATATGACATAATAATTTCTCTGGGGCACTAACCGGCTTCCGTATAAATTACGATCTAATTACTAGTGATTAGTCATTTTGTTCACACAAATGTCATGCTTGCTCAAATACGAATACAACGCCTTCTTTTTCAGCAAAATATTTCTGAATTATCCTTTTTTTAATCGTTTTCCATTTTCCAGTTTCCTCCATGTTTTCCATCAACACTTCCAGTATACCGTCATATTCCGGATGTCTCAGGTATTCCTCTCGCATCACTAAGATGATAAATCCACCTGAAATACAACAATTAATACATTATAGGCACAAAGGGCTTCTAATGGCCAATGTTACCATCGGCGCGAAGCATTCATTTGATTATACATCATCTAATTAGGTGTAGCGCCCAAAGTAAAGATAGGGTAATCACAGATGATATACAACAAAATGATAACATTCGAATGTTTCAATATCAACTAACTTTGCAAGACAGAAAGAATACAAGATCAGCGCCTAACGATGATTGAATAAAAGACACACAAGTGAATAGCACCTTTCAATACAAATTAATAGTAAGATACAATTAACCGAAACTACATCATACAGCTGTCGTCAGTGATACTATGGGCCTAAATGTTAAAGCTTATGAGGCTCACATGCCTATTGATTAAATAAAATTTGTAATTTTCATATATCAGGTAAACTCAGGTGGATAGGAGTTGCTTCCCTTCTCTTGCATTACAACATTATCATTTAATGACTATGTTGTATATTAATGTGTTTTGCCTTGTACCACTGTGATGTTATGTCTGGGAGAGGACTTAAATATGTCATATATATATATGTCAATAAAATTCATAATCCAGACGGGAAGGTGCACAAATCCCATAATTACATAAATTTTGTGATTTATATACATCAGATAATCTTAAAACTACGTCAAATACATGTGCATATCCTGAACCGTGCCAATATTACAATGAATCAAAACGTGGCGTACAGGTTACAGTAAATCTCGGGGACTTAATATCCACCGGCAGTGTCTAACACATACTCTTTCAAAGGATTGTACCATTGAAAAGCATCTTTAAATAGAAATAGATGATACAGTAGAGCTAAATTATGAATTAAACTGCATACAGCTGTTCCGTGTTGGAATACTGCAAAATAACTAGAAGGGATTATAGTGAAATGTTTACAAGGGCAGGAAAAATGAGAAATAATATAGAAAGTGATTACCTTTACGGGTTATTCTTAACATCTCCCATAATGCACCTGCCGGAATGTGACCTTGACCTATTCCTCTGGATGAAGCGACGATGTCATAGGTGTCTGCACGGAAAGAAATAGTCAGTGGTTTACAAAACGTTACAAATCAATCCCATTACACACAAGCAAGAATATTAAGTAATAAGAGACGAACTTATCAGGCAATATATTGATATTTCTCTTAAATCATAGGAATATCATCGTTATAGAATGATATTTTTTTTTCTATTCGCATGTAAAATCGCAAAAATCTATATTTCATTTGTAGTTACAAGCAGTTCCTTATAATTGACTTTCATACGTTGCTTTGATGTCTCTCTTTTGACTAGATGATTCAAAGTGGAATACATTTTCGAGATTAAATTGGTAAATATATATTAATAACTGTTAAAACGTTTAAACAACTGTATTATTGTTGTTTTAATCATTTAATCTGTTATCTAGATTCCAATCAATCTATTGCTATAAAAATAATGCAGCTATTAGATATATGTTATGCTTTGAAACCAATTATAATGTTTCCAAATATTGCTGATTTTTTATTTTTAATTAGCAATATTTGACTATTGATATTGCTACACAGTTGGGTACTGAACAGTTTTATTGTGGTAGAAACAGATCACACAAACTCGTGGCTGTGGTACAAGGCTTTTTCTCTCATTGATATTTTTCAAAAGTTACAAACATACGACCTTTTACTCGGTTGAAAGAAATATCACACACCTGATGTGTAACGTCTATTTGTACTGACCATTATTTTGCGTTTGAAATGAAAATTGATGGAGTTGTAGTTTTCACCCAGCTGTTGTAAATATCTTTGACTTCTCCCTTGGTTTGTCCTGCTGTGAACAATTTTTTTAGTATATCGTAAATCACCTCCTCATTACCAGTTCCGTCTGTATTCATTTTGAATTCTGGAAAAAACATATATGTTAACTTTTTTAAAGACCAATATGTGTCGCAGTTTTGAATTGGAAAGTTTCGTCAGGGATGGCATTATCGTATGATAGACTGTTCACATGTTTATAAAAGACTCATGTAAAAGATTTATGGACCTACAACAATATCATTACTGGATAGAACAAGAGGCTCCCGGAACTTAACAGTAATCTGACTTTAAAGTTATAAAATGTTCAATAACAGTAGTAGGGGTAACAGTGATTAAATAATAATAACAACAACACGAAATGTAAGTAGTGTAAGTGACAACAAACAAAGACTTCTTAATTTGTCAAAAAAGGTTTTGCCTTAATGACTTCAGTGGAACTTCATTTCTCCACTATGTACATACGGAGGCCGTGAGAAAAATGTCTTCTTCCATTATGAATAGTAACAAAAATACATTATGCAGTGAACGAACATGGCACTTGCCCGCTCGCCAATGGCAAGTGATATCATATATCACATATCATTATCAAGCGAGTAAAATCATAAATTTACTCGTTCGGTTTGGCGAGTACGACAAAATTCCTCTCTCCAAAATAATGTTTTTAATTTCTTTGACCAATACGCTGAAGTACGTTTGTAAAATATCCGACTTTACAGTAACTTAATCGTACAGTAGTAATGTGTCCCATAGTAAGTACACGTAACAGTTTTCGGGCTAAATCGCTGTGAAATACGTCATCACTTGTTGATGGGTTGTGCCACTGACAAATACAACCGTGTTCCGATTGGCGGATACACTGTAATGGGACGCTAATCACTAGCAGTGTTACATCCAGCGTGTTTTCGGTTCATCAATTCAACATGTAAACATGTCCCTATTACGGTATGGCTTCACCGGCGCAAAAGCGCCAGTTGTGACGCCGACTGGGAATAACGATAAAACCAAACTGAAAGAATATGAGAAAAAAAGAAAAAGAATATTCAATTCAAAATGGAAGGTGGGCCGTGCTTGGTTAGAAGATTCGGAAGACGGTACCGGTATGTTCTGTAAATGGTGCAGAGACAATCGTGAACTGTTGAAGTCTCGTGGATTGATAAAACACAGCACCACTTTTATTGATGGGTGCTCAACTTACAAGTTGGAATCGATTACATACTTTTGTCACCAACTTCAATAAATAAAATAAACCAAATGTTAACATGTCACAATTCTTTATTGTTAAACCTAATGAAAACGAATCAATGTAGCCATTAATAATTTGGGCGAGTAGAATTTTGTTTTGGGCGAGTTGATTTCTAAAGGCACTCACCCGGTTCGGCGAGTAAAAAAAATTGTTAAGTTCTCACACTATTATGTTTAGCGATCTGACAAGAACTGAACCCAGGTTAGACAATCCATGGGTCTACTGAATAAGTCGTTATGACGGCATGACATTTTTACATATTGACCACGTCCATATATATAATATAAATAAAGTTAAATTACCACCTACATTGGATAACAATTACCAGTCCCCTGTTCAGTTTAAATAATAGATGTAAGAATATTTTGCGAAGTTAATCTTGAAGTCTTAGTATCCGGAACCTCTGATGTATGACTTAAATTAATAAACCTGTAATTATTTTCATATCCTTGCTTAAGTTCTTATCGAAAATGCTAGGCTGGAACTGAACCAAATAACACTACTCTCTGTAATAAAGAGATCAAGAAAAGTTACACATACTAGAGAGAGAGAATCTACTGACCTTCCTAGGGAAGAATCTTCACATAGAATGTCCACATTTGTCAGGAGACTCTATAAGTGTAGTGAAATGGGTATTGTTTTATTATTTTTTAGGCAGGCATCCTAACCTGTAAATAGTTAGGCAGCTCGTTTTCAACCACTACACTTATACATAGGGATTTATTTCTGGGTTGTCAATGTAGATTTTGTCCTTGAATGAAAGTGTCTATGCTACAGTACTATGAAGCACTGGTCATACCAAAATCAAAACTAGGCTAGAAGGACGAAACAGCTATATGATGCAGTTTAATTCATTGTTCGACTTTACTGTATCTCACACTAAATTATGAAAAGGTGCTGTTCATTTGTACAATCTTCAAATGTAAATGTAATATCGAAGTATTTCTTTCAAATGTAGTATGTTTGATTTATAGTATGAATACTCAAGATTTTTTGTGTCTGCTCATAGACTTAGGCATCTAATAATACACAATATTCAAACTCTAGTCCAGGATCTCCATGGCTGCTCGCATACCACGAGTGTCGATTTACAATTTCTTATTTTTATATTTTATATATTCTATATTTTTTTTAATGTACTTCTTCCTCAGCTCTTACAAAGCTTGAACATTATAATAAGTTTTCTTTTGTTGATTTATTTCACCAAGTTGAACATGTCTTACAATGCTTTCCAGACACTGCTTGTCCTATGAACCAGATTCAGTGGCAAAGTATGACACTGCAATCTTTTTTTTAATTCCATAACAATTAGAATCAGAGGTACCCTTGTGTGAAAAGTGGGTGATATGTTTTCTGTACTATCCTCAACCCTGTTGCAGACCATGTAGTACAGCATACTTAAATTCCTTCTTCAAGGTCAGTTATGTATGAATTGAAAATAGGTTTTCAGTGAAAACCTACTTTTAGTGGATTAACCCATCTTTTAACAGGCTTTGGTTTACTAAGATATTAGAATCTTGAAACATCCCAATATTAATACATATATAATTTTTAAAAATTCAAAATCATCATTTTACTGTCTAAACAGTATTTGCATTTACATTTGATAGTGTATTGATGACAATGTACTGAGGCTAATACTAAGATTAAATCCTACAGGAATTAAAATTGTATTGTTTTGTTGTAAACGGTAAATACCGCATACATGTACAATTCTTCAATAGAAATGTGAATAAACGAGAAATTACATTCCTGCTGAATATCGCAGACAGGGATTGATGCCGAGCAACTTCCTCTGGTCATCTACCATGCACCAACAAGCTGAGACAAATCGCAAAGGTATGTGCAAGGGAGAATTATTGGGACACAACGTAAAAAGGCACATTGAACAACTGCATTTACAGTGCTATTTGCTGAAGATCTTCTATAATCTTAAAACGTATTCAACACCTGAAAGATAATTTCTTAAAGAGTCCCAGTGAACCGTGGTACATTTTAAATACATACTATAACCTACAATATTTGTACATAATTCATTGTAATAATTCATTGTATTTTTTATATTCTACATTCTACACAACATTTAACGGCCAGGACAGAATCTTACAAATATTCCTAAAAATTACATGCTATTTACAGAATTTTCAAACTTTAATTTTTTTTTTATATTCCTTTAAATCAAAGTGGCAACATAGGTTCAGTTGATGTATTGGAAAATTGCTTTCAAATGAAAATTATCTTCTGCTTTTTGCATAGAACTCATTTTTAGGCGTACTTCACGCAAGAGTTGTGACTGTAGTTTAATATTCAATATAATAACAAGCCAATATGCTGTATGATTTTTGCTTTTTGCTTTAAATTGTTTTCAAATGAAAATTAACTTCGTGTTTTTTGCAAAGAACTCCTTTCAATATAACAACAGCCTAACACATTTTGTCTTTTTTGTATGTAATCATATCTCTACTGGCTGCATTTGAAAATTGTTTCCAAATGAAAATTAACTTTTCGCTTTTAGCATAGAGCTGAGAACATGACGTTTTGTCATGTCCTACTTCACCAGCAGGTATGTCATTTCATTAGTGACAGTTTTCGGATGTCAATCGGCAGCACTTTGTGATAAATGGACTGGATATGCAAAGATATCAGCATTTTATCGATTTTGAATGGAATATAATATTATAATAACCTCAAATAGGGAATAGTATGTAGAGATAGACAGATTGTCAAAAATATTCGGATGAATAAAATGATGTGTCAAAAATACATTTTAAAAATCAGACACGTACATGATGTCGGTAGTAAAAAGACATGCATTTATAAGAGAAAGATTAGATATATATGTCACTTCGTTGAAGAGCGTGACCTCTATAAAAAATAACTCCTCCCGTTGTAGAATGTGACCTCTGCAGCAAATATATGCCTCCCGTTGTAGAGTGCGACCACGATAACCAATATTTCCTCCCGTTGTAGAGGGCGACCTCTATAGCAAAT